CACGGTCACACACCCACTCTTTCTCTCCCCATCTACACAACCATAAACAGAAGATCAGCGAAACATTCTAATGAGACCTCCAGCCAACATCTGCTCCCCTCCACAGGCACATTTATCTTGCAGTAACATCTGAGGTGGTCAGTTGACTCACAGACATACAATAAAGGAGGAAAAGTTTTGCTGCAACAAACATGTCTTGCGTCACAATATCGGCTGTTACAGTCCTGGTAAAATCAACTTCTTAAACCCACCTCTAATACACACGCTCTTTCAGCAGAGACATTAAAAAGGGAAGTGCTTTAGATATCAAAATGGCCCAATCATACACCTGCTATCAAACTGAAAGTAGAATTAATACCCAGCAGCCCCTTTAAAGGCCCCAGTCAACAAGTGTCATATCGGGGTCACCCAGCATGCTGTAACTGCCCGCGGCCTCCTGTCACAGGCTGAATATTCTGGAGAAACCTCTGGTGCCTGGCTGCTGTTCATTAAGAGTATTAATGATTAACTGAGAGTGCTATTGTCCCCACCAGCCCAGCTGTCCGTGCTCCGCCACTGATCCACTCCGATGCCTCCAGGTCACTAAACTGGCTCTATTCATGTGCTAAAGTGACAGCTGCTCCTCACATTCCACAGAAAATTAACCACAGATGCCGGAAAAAAAAACAAGAGAGTAAATACTGAGAGTAAATAAATAATTATTTGACAGATTGGCTTTGTCTTCACCGTAGAGGGAACGGTCAGTGATTAAAGAGTTGAGTGAAAGCGAACCGTTGTCCTTCGTGTGATAAGGGTTCAATAAATATAAGATAATAGTCACTGTGCTGTCGTTGGTCATAAAAAAACATGCAGAAAATAAAAAAGAATCTCCTCTTGAACAAAGTAAGCCGTCAAACATTTCCATGAGATGTATTGATGAGCTGTGGAGGTGTGAGATGTTAGTAATCAATTTTCTTGTTTGATGTGGTTCCAGACGGTAGATATTCCATTTTATGACATTTAAAGGTGATTACAGAAGGGCGTATTTGACGGAAAGGACTTTGACTGGCACCGGTGCCCAAAAACATTTCTTCACCTCTCAAATATAACACAATGTTTTATTGGGCGTGTGTGTGAGGAGCAGCACAGGTGTTGTTGTCCTGAAAAGAGAAGGTTTAAATGTGAATCAGTCAAAGTACACTGCGTTGTGATGCAACATGGTCACACACACGCTGCATGCAGCCTGTTGCTGACACACTCTGAAATCCTGATATCGTCATTATTCTGTTGAGACTCCAGGGTGAGTTGTATTGTTTTACTACAGCTGTAATGCAGTAATCAAAGCAGCTTTATCTGCTCTCTGGGACAGGTACAGTGTTTAATTGGACCTTGAAGGGAACTGCCGGTGTTTCTCTGGCATCTGTGTGGAGTTGTTATTGTTTCACCTGGGAGCAATCTTGTCCGTAATCATACTGAGCGTATTTGGTGTGGCAGTGTTGGCCCGTGTTTCACAGTCTGACCGTGTGTTTCCTTGTATTTTCACCAGGCCCCTTGGAGACAGGTGGGATATAACGGCTGCTAATGTGTTTTTGTTGTTATTTTCCCCACGTCACTTTCAATTAGGGGCACTTGAGGGTCCTTTTCTCTCCCTTTTGTTTATTGTTTTTTCAATGACTGCAGAAGTACACATGTACTTTACATTCCTGAGTATGTGAGTCCTTGTGTGTTTGCTGGAATATTTAACATTTACATAAACATTTACAGCAAAAACTCCAGTGGCGCTGGCGCTACTGTTGAGTTTAGGCCTCTGTCTTTCTGTCCAACCTGTTCATTGAGTAATGTTGACACAAACACACCTTTGAAGGTTTTATAACCAATGCTTAGAAGAAACAGCGGAAATGGCCGTCTTTAACCATGACTCACAGACAGCTCCCTTGTTATAGATGTAACCCTTTTGCTGTCACTTCACACACGGCCGATGCACTGATTTAAATATCTATCACTATTATAGATGGTCAGTTAGCTGTTCAAACAAAAACTGTTGCAGAAAACCTTAAAGGATCAGTCCTGATTTTTTTTATAGATAGATAGCTCTGAATAGAGAATTGTGTACCTTGAGAGGTGAGGTGTGCATGTGTGTTTGGGGGAGGACATTGGACAACAGTGTATTTGTGCGCTGAAGTGTGTAAACACCATTAATGTGTGTGTGCACCTTTTCCAATACCATACACCTATTTCGTTGTGGTACAAACACAGAGCAACAACACGGTCCTGTTTACTTCACACCTCACCTCTGATTAGATCACCAAGGCGGCTGGTTATGAGGACACCTTTAAACAAAGGAATGCCTCTGTTTTAGATACAGTGAGTTTGATAGGCCCGTCCAGCTGTTCACCTGCCCCATCCATCCATCCTTCTTGGCAGAAACTATGAAATCTCTTATCTCTACTGTGTGCTGCTAGGAAATATTTCGTTGTGACACCTCCCCATTCTGACAGATGGTGTCGTTTACACAGCCACTGGTTTGTGTTGAAGGAAAAGGAACAAGGACAATGACTTGGACACTGGAAGTGCTAAAGGTGTGTGTGTGTGTGTGTGAGTGTGAGTACACAGCTGCACCTCCAGGAAGGAATAGTTTCCTGTCACCTCTCAGGTGCTTGGCTGAGGCTGGTGGTCAAATGAGGTTAATATATGCCCTCTCACCTCATATATGTGCAGGCCAAGTACTGTTTCCTGCTTAGCCTACGCTTTTACGACCGTGTGAAACATGGGGGACAAACGCAGACCTGAAGACGGGGAGTACTGACTCTCTGCCTGGACTCATGGTCTGTCCTGAGAGCCAACGCTTTACTTCAGCAAAGAACATAGAAGTGGTTGTGTCCGTTCAACTCTGTATGCATGCACGTGCACCCGGCCCGAACTAACACACACACAAACACGCACAAACCAGTTTGGTGTAAGGCATGCGTGATGTAAACATGTTTTTCATAGGTGTGTGTTTGTGCGTGGGTTTATATTTTCAAAGGTTCTAAGAATCTTGTTAAATTTTCAACAACTCCCGGACGGTCATATCTGGTAAGCAGTAGATTTAAAGTTAAAGTTGGTGCTGCTGAGGTGCTACCAAAGAATTATCAGTGACAAAGGAAAGTCTGGTGTGGACGTTATTTTTTACTTCATATTTGACGTTTGAGTAGCATAGTTACTACAGAATGTTATAAAAGTACAAAAGAAAGCCGCCGTACATTTATCGGAGTTTTACTGTACACACACCGTACATTTCAATTCCCAACATGTTATTCCAACCTACAAAAAAGAAAGCATTTGCTTGGATTAAAAGCGTGAGGAAGCAATTTTTAGATGTTTTCTGTTGTGGAGATCATGTTATTTGAGGACAGAAAAGCTTCTTTAACAGTTTCTAGTAAATAAAGGAACAATTGCAGCTCTGTTACCTTTAGTCATGAGGGCCTGTTCAGCCTGCCTAAGGCTTACAAGTCGCCTGTCAGGTAGCTGTCTTAAAAACAAAAACAAAAACAACAGAAAAACAGACCAGTACAAACTAGCCATATCTCAATTTTGGCTTATCTTCTTTCCAGAAATACTACTTAAATATCTTATTATAATCTAACCTTTCAATCTGACACGTCACTCATTTGCACTGATTACTAATCAACACAGAATCTCTGAATTTAATCTTTCTATGCTGGTGAGCAGGAAACAAGGAAATATATCTCTATGTGTGGGTGTCAACTATGTAAACTGAAGATTTTTTTTTTTTATCAGTGCTGCACCTGCCACTGACGGACACCATATCACATATCACTTACCATAGCAAGTGTGCACTCTCACTGTACTCTGTATTTAAAAAAGGTTCAGTATTTCTGCCATGCACCAAAGACTGCTTTGAAAATGTGTTCAGTTCCATTAGAATGATATTGAGCTCTGTGCTCTGAGAGAGTCTGTGCTGTCACAAGGCAGGAGAAAACCAAAAATGAAGGCAGAAGGATTTGACATCAGTTTATTTCCTGTCATTGACTGCAAGTGTGTGGGTGTGGAATGTGCGTTGGGGTGAGGCTCTTGCCACAGAGCAACATACACACACACACACTAGTTTTTCTGAACATTACATACAGAACATGATATACTCCCAAGCCACTAACCTTAACATTAGCTATTACAAATATTCCTGGTCCTATACCTTGCCCCCATTTTGTCAGATTATTAGACCCCGAATCCAATTCTATCTCTGAACTAAATCTTTACCTTAAACACCATTTCACTCTGTGGGTGTCTGCCCCCATAAGGACAAAGTGTACCCACAACAGTGGTATTTTTCACGCTTAGGCAACGAGGAGTTGGCTTCATAGATAGAGAGATAGGTTCAACAGTGCAGCAGTAAAAAAAAAAAAAACTGTCGCTCACATGCAGGCACAAGAGAAAAACATGCGTCTCCACACACACAGACACATGTGTGTCTTATATTCTATGTTTCCCACTGTTATAAATCTTTTTGTGTGAATGAATCCTCTTAACCAATAACATCGCTGCGGGTACAAACCAGATTCCCTCCCCTTTTTTAAGCTCCCTCTCGGCCCAGCTTCACCCCACTCACACAAAAAACAAGAAATTAAATTAATTGAAAATGAGACTCACGACAACAGTTCACTGCACTGTCACATCGTCACTGTCCACAAGAGGTCATTTCACACAGCTACAGATTCCATTTTACCACCTTCAAGAATATGTACATGGGAACCGGCACACTATCACAGTGGGGCCACTCACACCCTATGTGGCCCCACTGTAACGACTACTCCAGACACGCACACACAACTGCACACATACGAGTGCCAATACTGTAGCCTTGATGTGGGCTGGTGTGCTGTGTCTGCTTTGAGTCTCTGCAGCTGGAGGATGAAGGTTGTCGGAGAGGAGGAAGAATGAAAAAGAAAGGGAAAGGAAAGACAAGGTCAAAAGAGATACGGCGGGTCGGGGGAGTGTGTGTGTATATGTGTGTGTGTGTGTGTGGGGGGGAGTTTGGACAAAAAGACAACTGATTCAAAACTTTATCAACAAAGGTAAAAAAAACTGACCAGGATTTATGACAGCAGTGATGCATTAACACTGACGTTGGGATGTGGTTCCACAAAAATGAAGAGGATGACGTGTGGTGATAGTGATGAAGACCAGGACGCTGCAGCAACAATCAAAGAAGTGGTCTCAGACTGGGGGGCTGGAAATGGAAAATGTGACATGTTTTAACAGAGTAAGAGTGCCCCCAATTGAGGTTCCATGTGTGTGTGTGTGTGTGTGTGAGTGTGTGTGGGTGTGTCACCCAGCTGTTGCGTCCTGGCTTTTGCACAGAGTTTCTAACCAGGCTCTAAAAGTGTGAAGCTCCTGAGGTTCACCAGGGTCTCCACAGTTCCCCAGGTCACTCCTGGAGCTCAGATGATCGGAGGGGACCTTAAATAGAACTGAAAATGAACCTATGTTCAATTTAGTCTTCTTAAAAATTAATCTTCTTTATTAATATTTTTAAAAATGAAAAGTATTGTGTAGTAGTGTTTTGTTGATAGCTAAGCACTGTCATTTAAGTAGACATTAAGATGTATCTATATGATGTAGGAATAATATTGCTTTAACTAAAAAAAAGTCACAAGCTAAGCAGGAGGAGCAGAAACAGCATGGCATACTGGGTTGAATACATAACGCACTGTCTCCATCTACAGGGAAAGGAGAAATCTGCAGTTTCAAAGAAAGGAGAAGGCTTTTTTTAGATCAATATTTTAGCAGTTATACAATAACATCTTAGTTTTTGAATGCTCTTCACTGATATACTTCGCCAAAAACCTGTTTGTCACAAGAGATAAAAAAAAAAGAGATCCACATCACATTAGGGGGAGTGGTGGCTTAGTGGTTAAGGAAGCGGACTTGGGTCTGGAAAGCTTCAGGTTTGAGTACAGCAGCTTCCAAGTTACCACTGAGGTGCTCTGAGCATGGCACCGTCCCCACACACTGCTCCCCGGGCGCTTAAAGCTGCCCACTGTTTACTTTGGTGAGGGGTTAAAAGCAGAGGTCACATTTGGTTGTGTGTAGTCACAATGACAAGTAGTTCACTTTCCTATTGTTGCTCATCTTTCCAATTAAACAGGCTGGCAGATTAGGAAAAACAACACTCTATTAAATGGTGCCATCTCCAAACTCGCATTCGTTGAGTCGACTTACAATGGGCTGGTTCATTCAGGCCGCACCACTGTACAGCACATTCACATCCTGTCCAACCACGACCCTGTGCGATGAGCGAGCACAGTGGGTGTTTGACTGTCGACTGTCTCATGAACGTGCTGTGTTCTGTAAAGATGGATGGATTAGCATTACAACAACTGCTGTGATGAGGTGAAAGTGAAAACAAACACAGGCCTGTGTTTCCACAAGATAAGGAGCAGGAACACAGTCAAAACACAGGTCTTTGTACGAGGTTAAATAAGGATTTCTACTTTGTTGTCCGGGAATAAAAATAAAAAATGTTAAACTTTTGTCTCCTTGTGAGATGAAAATCAATATGACAGTCACTGTTTTTTTCTTCCGTGCCTCTGAAAGGTCACTGTAGGCCAATCTCTTGTTATTACTGCGGCCCTCGCAGAGTAACATATTGCGTGGTACCTTTAGTCACTGAAACCTTAACCAAACTGAAACAAACTTCATGCCGTTAGCAGTTTGAAGCTCTTTGTCATTCTGCTTCTTCTTTGTTTAACTGCCCGAGGCACTGAGGCAGCAGACAGCTGCTCTAAAGATCACTGTCACCATTCTCCACTATCCTTTTACAGTTTTATTTCTGTGTCTCAGTTTCTTTTTGACTGAGTGAAACCCACAGCCTTAGGCCAGCTCTCGACTCTATGTGGGAGGGGGTGTGTGTGTGATAGCACCACACTGAACTATCACTTGGCCAGGTGGACCTCCTCTACCTTCTTCCTCCTCCTGGTGTCAAATGGGAGGAGCCTGGAGGCAGGCAGACTGAAGTTAGCTCCTCTTATTTCCCTAGCAAATTCAGTCACCGCAACCAGTCACATTTCTCTCCTCCTCCTCCAACTTCTCCTGTTCCACTCCTCTCCCCCCTCCCTCCATCCATCCCTCACTCCTTGCCTGCTGTCACAAGTCCCACGTCTCCCTTGAGAATAAGATGTCATGGAGGCCTCCAGAA